CTGATGCCCCTTTTCTGTTCTGGGATCCTATCATTTCTCCTCAGTCCCGTGAATCTGTGACAGCGCCTACGTCTTCTCCTGACTTGTATCATCTTGACACTTTTGAAGAGTATTGATCCATTTTTTTTGTTTGGTTTTTTTGTTTGTTTTTGTTTTTCTTTTTTGTCAAATGTCCCTCAGTTTTGGTTTGTCTGATGTTTTTTCATGATTGCCCTGAGGTTATACATTTTGGGCAAGAATGATCCAGAAATGATGTGTGTCCACACCCTCCTCCCAAAAATATATCAAACAGAAATTTCACGAAACTGTAACTCAGCTGTGTAAAATACACGCTGGCATTTTCTATTGTTGTTTTAAATGCTGGTTTCACAGCCGTATTGCTTCACAGCCCTCTAATGGGTCAGAAGACACGGCCCTAGGCCACCTGATGTGGGAGGCCTTCTCCTTCCACTGGTTCTTTCCTGAATCTCTTTCCTTTCCTGGCTTCAGTGGCACTGCGCTGACTGGGTTTTCTTCCTCTCTGATCAGCTCTTCCCTGTAAGTTTCGGGCTTTTTGCCCCAGCCCCACCCTGGTGTCCTAGATAGTGGTGATGGGTGTACAACACTGTGAGGGTCTGTCTGATCATATCTCACCAGAAGTATTTCCTCCGTGAGTTGGCCGACTCCTTCCATTTCGGCTCCACACAGGTGACCCCATCCCTGCTCTACCACCTTGTTTCGGGCTCTGCCTTCCAGCTGCCTCCAGGAGTTTCCATGTGGGTGCCCTGCACTCACACTAAACTCAGTACGACCAAATAACTTTTATTTAGCGCTGTCTCCCTCACAAACTGGATCTTTCACCTGTCAGTGGCATACCCTTTTCCCTACTCGGAAGAAGCCTGGCTTTCAGGGCCTGGCCAGCCAGGTCCTTTATTCTCCACTTCCTAATCCAAGGGTTCTCAAGCTTTAGAGAGCACTGTAATCAGCTAGACGGCTTGCTGGGGCCCGCTCCCAGAGACTGTGATTCGCAAGTCTAGGGTGCGGCCCTAAATCTGCACTTCTAACGAGTTCCCAGGAGGGGCTGAGGACCACTCTGAGAACCACGGCTGTAAGCATCCCACGTAGTAATTCCAGGCTCCTCATGCACTTCCGGAGCTGCAGGGAACCCGCAGCGGGGGTCACTACTGCATCAACCCAACCCAGCCGGGGCAGCTCACCTTAAGCCAGCTTTCCCCGACGTGGAATGCCCCGTCCAGCCCTTTGCCCTCCAACGACTCACATCTCCCCAATTCTGAGGTAACTCGCCTCCGACCAGCAGCCCCAAGACTTTTTTTTTTAAACTTCTTCAGCCTTCATAGAGTTATTTCTCTTAGGACTCGCTGGCAAGGAAAGCGGTGATTACAATTGCAAGGTTAGTCCTGACTCTCCAGCTAGACGAGCTCCCCAGGTCCCAGGGTCTTAGTAAGTTGTTCGCCCTCCGTGCTCACTGAACTTTCTTCTTTCATCGTGATTTCTAATACATCCCGTTTTCACCCTGCACACCCTCCCATACACGCGCAGGTACGCGCGCGCGCAAGCACGGGCCTAGGGCTCTGCCTGAAGCAGAGCGTGGGCGGCTGTTGCCCGAGAGCAAGCTGGCTAGCCCGCGTGAACTGGAAAGAAACCCAGTGATGCCTTGCAAGGACCAGCTGATGCCGGACAGCCGCTCTCCGGAACGTCGGTGCGGGGGACCTGGGTGGCAGGAGATGTAGAGGGGGATCAAGGTAGGGGGACGGTTGGGCTGCCCTAGAAGTGAACAGATGTCTTTGAAAACCTTTCGGAGAACGTCCAAAGAAGCAGATCCAAGTTGAATCTTTGGAAGGGAAGTCAAGAACTGGCTCGCAAAGGAGGAGGGCGTCGGGCGCTGCGTGTCCCCTCCCTGGCTGCCGGGCTCGCGGCCTCCCCGGGCCCAGCCTGCGCGGCCGGAGGGCGGGAC